CATTGAACTGCATAATGAAAAGTAACCGTATTTCGGGTCTTATGCTGGAAAGCTGAACACATGGGCGCCCCGCGTGCTTCCCTGTCCCGGTTCAGCTCGTGCTCTCCAGCTCCTCTCTTGCGAAATGTTTCATAACTCTCACTGAGCAGGGTGGAACTTAATGCGGGTTACATAGGGCAGGATGCAGGGCTCAATTCCAGCTCTTTCTTTTTTTTTTCAAATTTTTATTAATTTTCAAATAAACAAATTCTAAATACAAATATGGTGTACATTAATAATAAAAAAAACATATTGAACATAACCATATTTTCAGAGGTGCTCGGCAGCCCCCCCCCTGCATCCGCCCTCTCTTTCATCCTTCCTACTTACTTCCCTCCTCCTCTCCTCCCCTCCTACCTGCACCTCCTCTCTTTCAACTACCCTACACATCCCACCTCCTTCATTTCCTCATCCTTCGGATGCAGTTTGGGGGTGCTAATCGAGCACCTCCTCTTTAAAAAAAATAAAAAAAATAAAATACATTATTCTATAACATATTAATACACCAAATTTTGCATATCTCTACCCCCCTCATCCCCCCCCCTTCCCCCGGACTTCCCAGAACTGAGTACAGGGATAAGCACATAGGCTCAATTCCAACTCTTACGTTGGAGAAATTGCATAGCGTGGCTTTGTAACATTGATAAACTAAAAATTAAAGCTGCTAAAACGTGTTGTCTCTTGTTGGATTTTTTTTTCACGCAGCCTGGAATACTGATATGCAATAGAGATAGTTCTGCCTGGTTTAATTTGTTTCTATAAAGGTTGATGGAGAGGATTTGAAATGCAACATATTGCTGAAAATTATCGCCAATTTTTTTCATAAATACTTTTGTTGAGCAGAGGCTTTGAAGTAACAAACAACTAAGAAATGTGTTCCTTTATATAACACTAAAACATCATTAGTAAAATCTCTAGATTTTGCTATTAATTCTGAAAATCAAAAATACTTGTTAATTCCTTTGGCTTTAGAATCAAATATAGCACTCCTATCTTTTCAAGCTGGGGAAAACATAGGAGAGATCAATACAAAGCACATTGAAAAAGCATCACAGAAGAAGACAGTGAGGAACTGTTTTTATATTGTTGCCTAAAAAGTGAAATGGATATTTCCATGAGGTAGCAGAAATCAAGCACAGCTAAGAGACCAAAAGCTTTTGGTCTCAACTTTTGATCATGCTGGGTTTATTTTTGGCTTCTGCAGAGGGAGAAGTTGAAATGTGTAGCATCTTTGCAGTTGGAGAAACTTACCTCTTCCATGTAAGAAAAATCTGTGGTTTTCTTTAAAATGCCTTATTGTTACAATCACTGGTATTTTTTCCTCCAGGATGTGAGCTGAACAGCAGTGCGCGTTCCTATACTTTTAAAGTCTCGGAAGAAGATGATTCAGAACATTTCCTAGTTCTGAATATGGTAAGAGATTTCATTCTGAAATGGGAAGATTAGTTACAGGCTATTTCCTAGCTAGTGACTTACAACATTACTAGCCATTGCTGGGGCAGTATAAAGCCTGTCCTCACTGTTTTATGGCTTCAGTAGTATTTAAAAACCCATTTAGTTTCCAGAAATAATGAAGAAATCATGCAGGCAAATGAAAAGGTGCTGGAGAGAAGATGATGGGTCACTTAGTTCTTCTGACACTCCTTGATTCCTATCCTAGTAACAGAGCTAAAAAAACTCCCTTTTTAGACAACTAATGGGAAAATGTAGAAAGTTGATGGAAAAGGGGATGGACGGATAGTCATATCTGATGATTAAACATTTTTATTTTTGATATCTGTTAGTAAAGTAGAATTCTGTGCAGATTACAGTGAATGAAACTGCATATCTTCTGTGGCCAACATGGAAGTAAAGTCTGTTCACTTTATATAGTTGATAAAAATGCTTTGCTGGCAAAGCTGCTTTAATATTTACCTGCTTAGACAAGATGGCTCTGAGACTTTGTATTTTTCTTCATTGTTATGCCACAGAATGCAACGTGTGTGTGTGTACATATACAGAAAATCAAATATTTTGCACTAAAGGCTGCCTTTTCTGATTGTGTCATCCCAAACGCTACTTGCTTAAAAGTATAAAGCTAGAATTATGCTTTTAGAACAGAATCTCCTAGGCGTATTGTAATTATGCATACTTCTTTTAATCAGTAAATATAGCACTAATAGAAACTTTACTGCAAGAAGTTTAGTGACATATATAAATCCTGTGCTGTTTGAGTGTATCATTTCCTTTCCTTATACCTCCCTGTATTTCCAAAAGCATCCCAAACTTTCCTGAGCAGATTTTGAAGGTGGGTGCATGAAGGCTACAGGATTGATTTAATGGGATGGATTACACAGCCTGCAAATTGGCTGATTTATTGTTTTTGATTCTGTTCAGGTTTATTTGTTACTGAATGATTTTGTTCTGATCCTGCTTCCAACTGCTTATAGGAAGATGTTCAGCATTAGAGTTCATTTTATTCTTAGCTAGGCCTTCCTCAGTATGCCTCTTCAGTTTTGTTTCTCCTCCCCTTTTCAAGGCTTGTCTGTCCGAGGGTGCCAAAGATGAATGCAACATTGTGGAGGTGGTGGGTCGTGATTATCAGAACAAGGAAGTTACTGTGCCTGTGGCCAACCTGAAGCTGTCGTGCCAACCCTGGGTAAAATGATCTTTTGGGAATGTGGATGTCATGAAAAAAAAATCAATGTGCAATGGTTCCAGGATGTTGATTTGAAAGACCTGAGAAGGAAAGGAAAATTCTCTGCTCTTCCAAACACGACTGGCAATACTTGGGATAGCCTCTCTGATATGCTTCAAAGATTTGAGGTGCACAACCAGATTTTCCAGAGCCTGCTTTCTGTGGTTTCTCTAGACTAGGCCAGGGGTAGGCAACCTTGGCTCTTTTATGACTCGTGGACTTCAACTCCCAGAATTCCTGAGCCAACTATTCTGGCTCAGGAATTCTGGGAGTTGAAGTCCACGAGTCATAAAAGAGCCAAGGTTGCCTACCCCTGGCCTAGGCCAAAGAATGTTCATCCTGAATGAAATATTTGGTATTTAATCAAAAAATCTTTCTGGACCCATGGTTTTCAAGATATTATCTGTTTAAACGGGTTAAATAGGTGGCTTGATACAATACTTAGTGAATCATTAGGATAACTGTGGATATATAGCACTGGTTTAAAAGGTGTTAACAAGAGTTAAATTTGCAAATTAGGAACACAGTATTTCTCTTTAATTATATGAAAATGTCATGGCTCACACCCTCCCCCCCACCCCCCACCCCAAAAAAATAGCCACAGATGTAACAAAGCTCAAAACTTGTTGAACTATATAAGACCTGGAGAAACTCATCTTGTTTCATGATTACTCTATCTCCTTATTTTTCCACAGTTGTGTTTAAATAATTTTGAGTTCC